CCTGCTGTTTTCTTTGATCTATTTTTAGAAGAATGCTAATTAATTATGTTTAAGACTACCTGAGAAACTGGATTGATGAGTTTTTTCAATTTGAATTCTTTTTACAACATAAGTAAAAAAAAAACGTATACTTTGTGCTGTTATTCAATAATGGATTAGAATGGTGGAGAGAGACTGTCCAAGGTGTAACCGACAATAAGGAAAATAATTTTAAACTAGACTGTAACAGTGTGTAAAACTCAACAGTGTCACACAGTTAATCTGATTCTTGTTGATATTCAACATGGGTTTAGAAAAGGGGTGTGTCGCTTAACCCTTTAGACTTCTTTAGTAAGCAACAACAGTAATGGATTACCTGATATAGTATTATTGTGAGTCAGGGTTTTTTTTTTAAATGTCTGTAAGAAGTAATGCAACTTATTCTAGAAAGGGATCTTTACCCATGCCAAGGTTCCAGTTTTTCTGGGGTCTCTAGATAATGAGTATCAGTGTACTGACACAGCTGTGAATGGTATCTGGTAAAATAACAGCCTGGTTTGACTGGACCACATAATGGGTTACCATGTCAATTCAGAAACACTGGCCCAGAGACACCACAGAGTTCAATGAGACGAACAGAAGCTAATAATTTCTCCATGTTAGTTCTCTATTGGGCATGTGGCTTTCCTCCAGGTGCCTGGTTTCCTTCTGCAGTCCAAAAACATCCTGGTGGGTTAATGGCTTCCGGGAAAATTAGCCCTGGTGTGAGTGTGTATGTGTGCCCTGTGTTGGAGTTGAATCCTATCCAGGTATCCTGCCTTATACCTGTTGCTTGCTGGGACAGTCTCCGGCTCCCCTTCAACCCTGTATTCAGGATAAAGTGGTTAGAAAATGGATGGATGGAATATGTAATGATGTTCTTAAAATGTGCATAGAATGGCTTACGTAATTAAATTCTACTCTTCATATTTTTGTAGGGGTTAAATCATATTCACCCGATAACACTAGATGCATCACACTTACCCAAGATGCAATGTTTCTCACGCTTCAAAGTCCCTGTTGTCTTCCAATAATATCACTCTTAGGAAGATACTGTTGAACAAAAGTCCTGAATGTGATATCATTACAGCAGCTGTTACATTGGGTAAATGAGAACATTTTTAGTATGGAGCTTGCTGTCATCATGATTAAGGCATAGCAGGCAGTTCATTAAGGGGAATTGGAATAAGATCCATTCTGCCACTAGATGTGATAGTCGGAGGCCTTTATCGCTTGTAAATAGTTTCACTGGGTGTCAAATTGTTGTTGTTATTATTATTATTGAGAGGTAGATTACATATTCTTACATCACTATTAATGATGTTTTGGATATATAAAGTGCTTTTACAGTTTTAGTAATAGTTGGATTTTAGGAAACAGTCAGGAGAGACTGTTAGAGTTTAGCAGTAATAGAGTAATGGACTTCTCTTGAGTCTTTGGAGTACAAGACCTAAAGTATGATCTCTGCAAATAGAAGTCTTCTGCAACATACAGTACAGTGTTGTCCTCATGAGTTCTCATCTGTTCTGATTGCTGCAGCAACCTTGTTTACGATAGTGATCAGACACAAAGACACAAAGACACAACTAATACTGGTCATGATTTAAAAAGAACCAAATAAGCATGGTAGTCTGAATGGCTTCCTCTCATTTTATCAATAAGTTTTCCTAATGCAACAAAGCTCTTAAGGTTCACTCCCAAAACACATGCAGGGTGCTAATCTCCCAGCACCACAGAATGTCAAAGTTTTACAATTACTCTTTCCAAACTGGGTAGAAGGGGGAAAAATGGTATTCCTAACTTGAAAATGAAAGTTAACCTTTCAGCTAGGACTGATTTAATCAATAAAATTAAAATGAATTTAATAGCTGAGATCTGCAATATGATGAGGTTCGATTGCAATAAATAAGACATCAACTGAATATTTTGGTTGCTGGAAACAAACTGCTGATAGTCTTCCTAGTTATGCTTTTCACAAAGAAATTAAACCTGTTTTGGAATTAAACTATGTCTCAGAACAATCTCTCAGGTTGTAGTGTTTACTGGTATGTCATATATGCAGCCACCTTTAACTCCTCCTACTTTTTCAAGGTATTAGTTACAGAAAGCATGTGAGTCTTTTTCATCCACACACAGGGATCTGTTGTCTGATGTGCTGTCCCTACAGTAACATTTCTGCTGTGTCACGATGGGTTCAAGGCTGTTTATAATTCTGCTTGTGGTGCATTCTGGTGAGTGAAATATCTATCATTTATTATAAAGAATAAATAAATAAATGTGTTGACACAATACTTAATACTCTGACATAACCAAACAGACTATCTTAAATTAATATGAAGAAAGAAATCACAAAAGTAGGAAAGGTAAGAACACTTACAGTACCACATGGTGAAGGGTTGAACATTAAAGACCTAAAGAAATATAGTCAGGTTTAATATCCTCCATTTTGAAGTCACGTATTCCAAAGGAACCGAGTAAATATGATGTTTCACACATGTAGCTAAAGAAAAGTATTTGTATTGAGAAAAATTATTTTTAACAGGCTGACTTGATTAGCCTAATCTGTCAGCAGCTGTATCACTCTCCAACTCACAACTAGCAACACACCGAAGATAAGCAGGTATGAGCCTACTGGAAGAGTATTAGAAGGGCCAGTAGGGAGCGTTCACCCTGTGTGGCTTTATGCCCCAGTATAGTGACAGGGACACTATACTGTAAAACAGCGCTGTCCTTTGGTGAGATGTAAAACCAAGGTCCTGACTCTCTCTGGTCATTACAAATCCAAGGGCATTTCTCAAAAAAGATAGGAGTGTTACCCTGGCATTTACCAGTCATGGCCTCCTAATAATCCCCATCTGTGAATTGGCTTCATCACACTGCTCTCCTCCCCACTGATAACTGGTGTGTGGTGAGCGTTCTGACGCACTATGGCTGCCGTCGCATCATCCAGGTGGATGCTGCGAATTGGTGGTGGTGGAGGGGAGTCCCCATTACCTGTAAAGCGCTTTGAGTGCAGTGTCCACGAAACACTGTAGAAGTGTACAGAATTATTATTGTTATTAATTTTTTTAAATCTGTATTCTGCATTTACAATTGTTTTCTACTTGTGTTTAGGATGATCTTCCATATCAGTTAATATGCTTAAATGACAATGGAGTTAAATGCATGTAGTTATTTAAAATCTTAAAATTATGTTTTTGATTTTTGTTCCTGCATGTTTCAATACAGTGACAACAACCTTCATGCAAGGGCAAATTTCTTATTTCCCTGTTTTTGAAATGGCATTCATCATATGCTTACACAATTTGTTAACAGTTTACATTATGTCCATTTAAATTTAAGATTCCTCTAGCAGTCCTTATACACTCTTTGTTGATTCCCAATCATGACCTAACCCAGGGCTGGCAGATCATTATGGCAGAAACTGGGGGAGGGAGTGTGGCGTGGGGCACTGTTTGGTATGAGAGTGTGTGTGTTGGGACAGGGGGTGGATATTGTGCCAGAATCTGCCTGCAGAAAGGTTTCCCAGGCTATCGTCTGCCTTCATCTCTACTCTTATACAGGAAGCAAAAGCAAAATTAGAGTTTCTTTATTGTAAATGAACCCTGCAATTGGCTGTCATGCTCTACAATATTTAAAGAATGAAGTTTGGCCAGTTACTGCTTGCATGACGTCAGGATCAGCCAGTGATTGCTTTGGTAACACTCAAGGATTAATGCCTTCTGTCTCGACAGTGGCACAATGTTCCTTGTTCCTTATAGAGTCACCTCTTCTTTCTGTTTTTTTTTTGGTTGTCTGATGAAAATAGTTGGTTGATGTTTATTATTAATACAAAATGCCACTTTTGTTTAATAGAATTCAGCAAAACATTCATCCCAGAATTCCATTTATAGATTCATTTCAATTCTTATCAGTCTAAAATCCAGTTTTCAAAAGCAAGGGGGGGTGGTTATTGTGCCAGAATCTGCCTGCAGAAAGGCTTCCCAGGCTATTGTCTGCCCTCATCTCTAGTCCTATATGGGAAGCAAAAGCAAAATTAGAGTTTCTTTATTGTAAATGAACCCTGCAATTGGCTGTCATGCTCTACAATATTTAAAGAATGAAGTTTGGCCAGTCACTGCTTGCATGACGTCAGGATCAGGCAGTGATTGCTTTGTTAACACTCAAGGATTAATGCCTTCTATCCCGACAGTGGCACAATTTCCTTGTTCCTATAGAGTCACCTCTTCTTTCTGGTCTTTCTTGTTGTCTGATGACAATAGTTGGTTGATGTCTGTTATTAATACAAAATGCCACTTTTGTTTCATAGAATTCAGCAAAACATTCAACGAGGAATTCCATTTATAGATTCATTTCAGTTCTCAACAGTCTAAAACCCAGTTTTCAAAAGACAGCAGGACAGCAGGCTTTTGAACTCAGCTGACACCATTATCCGCATTTATATTAGTCAATTGCTAATTGGAGAGATATAGCAATTTAAAATGATAAAAATCAAAAGAAAGTGTTTTAATAGTAATAACATCTGTGTCATTTCAGCCAGCAAATACTGTACCATAAAAGTAGATCAAGTAAAACAGAAGAGTACTAACACATAATATTATAAGGGATAATTTTTAATGGAGTTAACACTTATTAAAGTTTCGTAGTATGCATTAAACCACCAATATATTAATATTAAAAATAAAAAAAAACCTATTAACTACAAAAACAATGAGAAAGAAACAGTTCAATAGCAGGAAGATACACTTTGTTAATATATTAGTAAAATACCAATCACCTGGTTTAGAAAGATTTCAAATACCTAATTTCTTATGTTAAATCTCTTTTGTGAAAAAAACATCCAAGATCTAAAGCAGTTAATAATAATAAAGGAGACCATAAAGAACATTGACTGATCAATTGGTAAACAAATGGTATCTATGACCATTTGTGTATTAATAATCAATACATCAATAATTTGTCCTCATATAGTGCCTTTCAGTCAAGAGCATACATTCTACATTAAAAATGTATAATAAGTGTATAAAATACAAACATATATATATTTATTAAATTCATAGAAAAATATGTGAGTAATTGAAGGCCATCGAGAAGCCTTGAGGTGAAGTGAGGTGAGGTGGTAGAAATTTAATGAAAGAGAATCATCTAACTCAAAAGATAAATCGGTGGTCTGAGAATGTAAGTAAATAATGAAACAAGAACAATAACACAAAATGAATAGGAATTTAGTAGCAGAGGCACAGATTAAAGTACTAACATGACATGGCTGAAACAAGCATTTAAATGATTAAATGTTCAAGTAAAAAAAAAGAGAGATTGACTCAAAACCGATCAGTGACACAGCTGTAGCAGTGTATGCAGAATGGCAACAGAATAACTCCCCGAGTATCAGATATTCATGTGAGACTATACTTGCCTTCTTTGTGCAACCAAAAATGCGCTTGGATTCTTAGAAAGGAAGTCACAGGAGTTCATATCCATAACACCCAGAGCGCAGGATAATGAGGACAACCCCTATAGATGGTGTGAAGTCTGACATGAAGAGAGTGACCTCTTCTGAAAAGAAATGAGATTACACCTATGTGCTGAAGGATGACAGCACAAATATGAGCCTTGTAAAAGAAATAAAAGTAAACTTTCCCGAACTTTATCCTAGGTCTCATTTAGTTTTGTTTTGAAATATAATTATACAAATGCTTGGCAGTTTATACTTTTTGAAAAACAGCAATTCGCTACTTACCTACACAAAGATCAAATTTAGAGATCTTTGCGTGTAAATGACTTGTTGTGGCATCTTTTAAAAATGCTTAATATTGTAACTGTCAATGGTTTTGATACTTGTAATTTAAAAATAAATGATAAAATCAGGAAAAATCTATTGCTTGTGTCTGAAGCTCAGAATTGAATTGACCGTGATGAAATAATACAGCTGAAGGTGAGAAGATATAGGTTAGTACAGAAATGTACCATCATTCTTCTTTCATTTTCTTCTTCAGTGTCTTCCATCGATGAAAGAAAAGCATTAGAGGGAACAGCAGTCATTCTTCCTTGCTTTGGTAATGTAAATGAGGTTGAATCTGGAGTGGTCAGATGGTACAAAGCAGGGCTTGAGAATCCAGTCCTAGATCTCAACATAAATGAAGACAAACACATTCAATACTCAAACGACTTCTTGCTTTCTGGAGATCCGTTGCTCTTTGATTTCTCCTTGAGTATTTTGAATGTTCAAATGCAGAATGCTGGAACTTACAGCTGTTTGGGAATCAATGGAGAGAATTACACTGAGATAAACACCGTTGTACTGCTTGTGAAAGGTGAGTAAAGATAATGATTTATTCAGAATTCCTGTTTCAATCTGCATCTTGAATATACATATACCATATGTATTCTATATACAGTACTTTGCAAATGTTTCCCCACTTTTCCGATGATGTCCCATTTTTGTTGAATTACAAATGATGTTCACATTTTTTAGACAGAACACTTTAATGGGTGAAATATCCAACTCAAGATTTCGATTGGGCCACTCAAGGGCACTCACTCTCTTCTTGACAAAACCACTCCAGTGCGGCTTTGGCCATATAAGTATTCATTGTGGTGAAATGTGGATTTTCTCTAGAAGTTTTAGATTACATTACATTTGTTGTTGTGAATGATGTGCAATCGGTAATGATCTTAAATCTTACTTCTATGCTTAAGAGTGCTTATTTGCAGTTAGGGTTTCTCCTGGTTGTATATTGCATCTCTGTAGTATTCTCTTTCAGCCATTCTTTAACTGGTTACTGCCTTGAAAGAGTAACGTTGAAGCAGAAGAATCATGAGTGCTCAGTAGCTCAGTGTTTAGTATTGTATCTTTTCAGTTTATGCTGCATTCTGCAGCATAAATGCACCATACAGCACAGTATGTTTCCATACTCCTGTGAGACAGAATGTTACAAGCCTCTATACTATTTAGGTTCAAATTTATTTAATACATTTGTTACGATTTCTTTGAACAGATATGACTTTTTAAATTGTATGTGTGTGTGTGTATATAACTTGGTTTATGGAAAACACACAGTTTTTTTACATTTATGATCCACTGTGCTCATATCCAGCTTATGAGTGCCGGTATGTTCTGTCTATAGTCTTCTTTCACAAAGAGAGAAGGAAAGAAAAATGAAAGAAATTGAAACAAGAATCAACAAGAACACAGTAAACATTAATGAACAATTTCAAATAAAGCCTTCAACAAAACAGTACAACCTTTTACTTCAAATAATGTTGTTTCAATAATTAATGCCCCATTCTAAAAGCTGCATGTACAGTAACTGTGTAATTGTGTAAAACTTAATTTTATTGTGTGCTTTACAGTTCCTTCCACTCTTGTGCCAGTTCCCTTGCCTGAATTAAGGCACAAACCTGACGACAATGATGGTTATGATGATAATGACAGTTATGATGACAACTGCCACAAACCTGAAGACGGGGGAAAATTTCCAATAGCAGCCATTGTTGTACCTGTTGTAATTGGGATACTCCTAGTGGCTGCAATTGTTTTGGGTGAGTAAATGTAACAAGGCCCTGGTGTGAGTGTGTGCATACCAGTGTCTGTGTGTCTGCCCTCCTTTGGACTGGTGTCCCGTCCATTGTATATCCTGCCTTGTGCCTGTTGCTTTCCAGGATAGGCTCCGGCTTCCCCTCAGGCCAGAATAGGATAAAAAGGTTAGAAAATGGATAGCTGTTACAAGACATTACATTCTATTGCAGAAAAGGATCCCTGGCCTTGAAAACCTGGAGATTATAGGATTCTCCTGCAGCAGATCTCTTTCAGATCTACTGTAGTCTTTGGTGTAATGGAGGTTGTTACAGCACTGTGGAGCAGCACTGTGTATGCTCTAACTGACCTTAATTGAGTCTTGATGGGGTCAGAGTCATCTGCAAGCCATGACATCAGATGAATTGAAAAATAAAAGTATCACCATAACCCAACAGAGATGTGCTGTATTACCATCTAATATAATACACTAATAAGATTTCAGTCCCTTTTGAAAGGGAGGCCTCAACAGTAAGAATCTGGCTGGAAGGCAACTGAATAGAGGAGTACATTGTACTAAGCTTTTACAAAAAGTGAAATACACCCTGTAGTTGTATGAGATGGAAGTGGCACATCCATACAAATAGAGTGCCCTCGCAGTGCTCTGAAATACAGGGAGACAGTTTTTAACATTACATTCGTGTGAGACTACAATCTATCAAAATGTGACCGACTACAGTGTTCTTTTTATTGGATCAGCTCACCGCTTCTGGTTTTATATGTTAACATAAAGAATTAACTTATGCATTATTATGTCTGAAAAATATTACTTTCATACTACAGTCATTCATTTCCACATTTTATTTTTATAGGCATTATTCTGTACAAGAAATACTCCCACAGCAGCCCAAAAAAGGTAAAAGACGTTTTTTTTAAGCATGTGACAATAGGAAAAAAAGTACATGCTTATTCAGTTTTATGTCCACATTACAAAGTGTACACAGTGTAAAAAGTATTTTAGAGTATATTAGAGTGGCCATTCTTTGCCCAGGATTCCTTAAATGTAAACTTAGAATAAAAGTTATCTATTCTCAGAAATGTTAAACATTGCTATGCTGAAACCTATCAAGAAATACCATTTTGTCAATAATATTCATTTTAAATGAATAGTAATACTGAATGATGGTAAATGTTTATCATGTTAAATGCCTCATCTAATTATATTTCCCCACAGCTAAACCAAGTCTCAATCAAGAAGCCCATCCCGAAGGCTGTAGAAAACATCTATGAAGAGAAACCTTATTACATAAACTTTAACTCTTTTCCCATAGAGTAGATGCCTCACTTTTGAACAAGAACTGCAGAAGCATTTTTGTCCAAGAGCTCTGCATGACCTTAAGTCTTGCTACCTATTTTCTCAATCAAACCACCTTATGTCAGAGTTAAAAATGGAAATAAATAGAACATGTAGATAAAATTCATACATTAATACAGAGTATTCTTTAAAAACTGTCATATATTTAGGCACAACCTTAAACAAATCCACACCATTTGAGATTTAAAGTTTTTCTCATGAAATGCAATTTCAATCATGAACTGAAAGCAGGAAAACAACTCAGGTAGGACAGGTATTTAATATAGATGTTTTACTTTTATTTCAGTAAATTAAAATATATCGTAGCACCTACAAAGTTCTAGCATTCTCAAGGGGCAATTAAGAACAGGATGAAGTATGCCATAGAGGAAATTTCTTCCTCAAAATATGTTTGAATTCGCTTTTTACCTTTGATGAATTCTTAAAATTGGCATGGGATATGGAAAAAAAAGAAATCAAAATAAGAGATTAATTGATAATTGACCAACAGTATTTACAACTGTTTTAATCTTGTTGACTGGGATCCACTCCAATTACTACTAAGTCTGTGGTAGATGGGAATTGGTCATATCCAAAGGCAATAAGAAATGTTTAGGTGCACCACCAAAAAGAAAATCTCAATACACTGAAGAATCACTGCATTTCATCTACTCATTTAATGCTTATCTCTTGCACAAGATGTATAAGAAATGAGTGAATGAACACAGGAAAATGGACTCTGTAAATAAAAAGTTTATATGTCCAGTACCTGCATACTGTATATAGACATACTTCATTCACTTTGCTTCAGTAAAATACCAAGCTATGTTACGACAGACAAGTCTTATTTTTATATCCCGTTTACACCCAGTCCTAAACCAGCCAATATTCAACCATCCTGTGCTTGAAGATACAAAATGGACTCCAGGATGGCAATGGCAGTGTTTTTTTAATTTTAATTTTCATATTTTCAGTCTTTTTCAGATTGTGATCAATCTGTTAAAAGTTATAAAACAATATGAACAGTGTATCATGATTTGGCCGTCTTGATCCATTCTGTGGATAGCTGCAACGACAAGTTTGTGGTATTGCTTTCCTGTTGAATCATGCTCATGTTAATGTTCAATTTACACTGGGTGCTGCGAGTCAGGGGTTGACCACACTCTTCACAATCTGCTGTAACCGTCACACAAGCGGAATCTACCCTGGAGCGGAAACTTTTCATCTTCATTTCTAGGATGTGTTCAAGAATAGCCGTCACACTGCTTCATAAATTTGTTTGCATTTATTTGTTAAAAGTGTACTAACATACTTATAGTAAACTTTATGTAAATGTTTTTTCCAGAAAAATCAAAAACTGTAATGGGGGTGTCAAAAATAAAGGAATGTTTGTGCAATACAGAAGCCTTGGCATCTGAGCGTGTTTTTTTTTTTAAAAGTTATAACTTGTAAATTGATCGGCAAGGTGTGCTCTTACAAAACACAAAGTGGCATTTGGATAATGTCACGGAGAATATGCACTTACAACTCTTTATTATAATTTTTAAAAGTTTTTTAATTTTATAGACTATAAATCACAATATTTACCAAAAACCCTGTTGTGAATTGACAGTGACTGAACATAAGTGCGTCTTGATTTCTGGCCGTTGAAGTCTTCAGATAAATGAAATCCTAAGCATCAAACAGACAAGCGATTTGTAACTCAGTTTCTGAATTAATGTACTTATCTAATGCAAGAGTGCCTTGGCACGAAGCATGTATTAACCACTGACCTACCACTAGAGGCCACCAAATCAGACTCAAGATTGTATGTTAAGTTCCTCTTGCTTTTGTTTGGAATACTCCATATAATAATGTTGCTTTATTAGCCCTATACAATTTCTTGCATTAGGAATTCATCTTTTCACATACCCCAGCTTGCTCTCCATGAGATGGACACACAGACGGGGAGAGAAGCTTGGGGTCAGAGCGCAGGGTCAGCCATTGTACAGCACCCCTGGAGCAGTTGGGGTTAAAGGCCTTGCTCGGGGCCTCAACAGAGTAGGATTCCTCTGCCGGCTGCGGGATTTGAACCGGCAACCTTCCAGTCACAGGCACAGATCCTTAGCCACAGAGTCACCGCTCCGCCCATATGTTTTCCCCCACCACAGTGTCAGCTTGGTGTATGCAAGTTTATTTGCTTGGTCACTAAAGCTAGGGCTAGGAAGACTAACTGGGCAAGTTTAGATGTCCCAGAACCTCACAGAGGAAACCATACATCAACTCAGGGGATCTAGGTTTAATACTGGTTACCTGGTACATTTACATTGTAGATCAGGTGTGCTATCCAAAAGAAAAACCATTGGCCTGCTGTTGGAGTCCAAAACTATAACTCCCACCAGCCATCATGAATTGATCACCCATTAAAAGCAGTTTAGTCCGAAATAAGGACAAATTTAATTATCAAGCTGCAACTGCAAAATGTTGCATGTGATGTAGTCATCACAAACAACTACAGTATTTTTTAAACCAAGGGCCGAGTAGAGAAAAAAAAAACTAAGTAAATCAAATCACAGGTACCAATTAGCACAGGTGAATTAGGATCAAGTTAAAACCAATCCAGGAAGTTTTAACTCCAGAACTGAGAACTGGTGCAGTACAAAAAAAAACCCACAAATGCCGATGTTTTGCAATTTCATTTGAATTTATAGATGTGTAGAAAATTTAAGCAACAGCAAGGTCAAAGTCAAATATACTGCAATGATCAACACCATTTTCAGATTCAGATCTTTATTTTGAGTATCTTTCCATGGTGACACCACCTCAAGGTGGTCTTCCATTTATCATGATACAATTGGGCAGAAGGAGGAAGAATAGTAAAAATACAACTTGAACAGAAGGAAATCAAAATTCCAGAAATAAAACATTAACCTAAGCTTCATCTTTAAAAACAAATATTCCCCTAAAATTCCAAATGCATCAAATACAAAACAATTTGTCAGTGATTATTAATAGTGCTGAGTTTGTTACAACTCTCATCCTGCTTTGCAGGACATTTCAGGATTAAGTAGCGGGCTATGTGCTCCATTCACACTTACAGCACTTGATCTGTATTTTCCATCTTGCTCTCTGAAACCAGTTCTAAGACATATCCATTAGAATCTCCACCTAGTTTCCCCAGCAGCCCAGCCTCTCAAGCAGATTTCAGTCAGTTATCCACTAAGGAAGCAACACTGGTCACCTTTTACAACAGTTTCACAAAGAACCAACTGAAGACAAATCGTGTGCACCTCATTTAATGTGTTAAAGAATTTCTTGGAGCCTTGCCATCATGTTGGGGTAGAACAAATTCACTATTTGTTCAAACTTCATAAATGAAAGGCAGCTAAAATATCAAAAATAAGGATGAAGGTTTCCCCATTAGTTGTTTTTCATTATGGAGGGAAATGCTTTGGTGTTTGATGGCCTCTGTTCTTATCACATTGCACTTAGTCAGCTGCATTCTTAACTTATCATATTCTTGCATCAACCCGTTTATTGCAACACATTTTCAACTTCACTCCATGTTCAGAAGGCAAATCAATCAAAGTAGTCAACTACAATAACACACCAGCTGATGGATGTTGCAGTAAATTTCAAGCAGCACATGAAAGCACTAAAAAAAAAGTCAGTGATTCTCAACTAAAAAACTAAAATGTGGCTAAAAATATTTATAAAACTCTTGTATGCCATCTGCAGACAGCCAGCATAATAGGTTTCTGAAGCCTAATATTATACAGCTAAAAGCTGGAAAGGGGCAGATCATTAATCCCCTTCATTCCAAGTAAGACACCAGAACAGTGGTGCTTAACCATAACCAGATCCTCAGATCCTCACTGCAGCCCTGCACAAAAGGCAGCTAGCTGTATGGAGTCCTAATCCCGGGGTATTCCAGCAACGATCTCCGATTCGATCCCACAGTGGTCCTGCCCCCGAAGAATCTTAAAGTATCCTAAAATGGAAACAAGCCTTTAAGATTGATAGACAGATCTATGCTTAAATCTCATATTCTGAAATTTGAATACTCATAAAAAAAGCCAAGCACAAAAGGGAAAAAAAACAAAACCAACTAAAAATGTTAAAACTGTTACTAATTTCTAAAAAGCCTTTCGTAAGACAAAATTAACTTCTAGGACCCATTAGAAATTATGCAATTATAAATGAAGTGTTTCAAGTAAGCCTAAGACTGCCATTTATGTTTTACCAAAAATATGGCATTCTGAATTATCCTGTTCAAGGCTGTGAAGAGTTCTTACCATTTTCACCCCAGTCTGTGTTCCAGGAGTTGGCACCCAGCCAGTAGGGGGTGCCCTGCTCCTCCCCCCAGCCAAGAATCTTGATAGCATGGCCCCCAACTGCTGACCCACTCACATGCTGATACACTCCTGAAAGAATAGGAGAAAAAATAGTCATCTGGATCAAGGCACTAGTTTTCACATTCTAACCGCTTTAAGCTGCTGGTTTTTAGGTCAGCCTGGAGATCAAGATGGAAAGGATGGCACAAAGTAACGCATTAGCCTCTGGGTCCTTAACCGACAGGTCTTGGGTTGAAGTTCCCACTGTAAATACTGTTGTACCCATGAGCAAGGCACATATACTTGGGGATGGACTACAGTAGGAGAGGCCATTTGTTGGGCAATAGTCCCCACAACAGACCAGCATCCCATCCCAGGGTGGAAGGAGTCAAAGGGTGTCTGTCTGCAAAACGCTAAAGGTAACCACAAGCAGCTGGACAGAGGAGAAGCCTACCTGATTTGTACATGAGGAAATCCTCATACACAGTGAAAGCGCCCTCTACAGGTCCGTTTTTGTAAATCTCCGTCATGATCTGCGTCTCGTCAGAGGGCACACCATACGATTTCTTCCCTGCAGAAGGCAAGACGCACACACTATTACATACAGGAGCGAAAAAGGTCAAGCAGCAAAAGTCTCTTTGAAGAGGAGTGGGAAAGCATTGAAAAAGTTACTTTATTTAGAAGAGTGGGATCAAATAAGTATAGTATCAAAGCATATAACCCAGAAACCTCTTTTTGTTTGCATAACTTTTAATTCGTTGGATTAAAAAAAAAACTTGAAACCAGACGTATGCAGGAGAAGGAAAATCGGAAAGTGAGCTTGGACTGTACAGAAAAAACGATCCTTGCCAAAAGTCAACAGCAGAAATATATGAAGAGGCTACTGCATTCCTCCTGCATAGGAGGCGGGGGACAAAAAAAAAGTCCAATGTCCACAGATGCCTCTTACCATAGTGTTTGTCCTCTTTGTAGGAGGGGGTGTAGCCAGCTTCACACTGCATCCGGCATTCTGGGGTGTTTCCGCCCTCCCCAGTGCACGGGGGGCGTGTGCCGTTCACATGGTGCTCACAGGGAGGTATGGTGTAAGGCCGGCAGCCTGCATCAGAGCCGCGAGACAATCAAGCCCCAGGGACTTTCACCCAGTGAAACCAACAGCCCCAGGAACGAGCATTTCAGTTTCAATCTACTTCCGTCTAACTAGTAGTACTGAAATGTTTGGTCATTTCCCCAAAATGACTAAAAAAAAAATAATGGCATTAAAACTGCATTACTTGAGGGAAGCGTTGTCCTTTGCCGCAGGCATGTCTTCCCAAGGGAGACTTACCCACATGAGAGTCGTAAAGACCTCCAGACACCAGCCCACTCTCGGTCCAGTACTGCCAGGCTGATGCAGGGTAACCTCCATCACATCTATACAGAAGACACCAATTTCACTAATCATAGAACTCCAAACTAAATTTATATAATCAACTGAAGCATTCAGCTTTGAGACCTACAAAACTATCCTTAGTTTTACAAAAGGTTGAATTTAGGTCAAGGCAGTTTTCAAGACCAGAACATGGACTTCCGTAGAGGATCGGGTAAAGGTTTATTCCATGCTGAAGGGTAAAGAGACACCGTTTCAGCTGTAGAACTTTCGAGTGTAAAGGAATAAACCTTTACCTGTTGCTTTGCAGCCCACGTATGCCGACGCAGTTATCCACTCGATGTACTTGAGTAATCCGGCAAAATTGCTCACTCTATGCCTACACTATAAGAATACCTTCAAATTGGTAAAGAGGGAGTTATCAATGATCCTGCATCTTCACGACCAGCTCAACTTTTTAAAAAGTAACTGAATACAGCATGCATTTCCAACAGCTCAAGTCTCCAAATTCATATATATATATACACACACACATTCCTTCAACTACACACAGCAGTGTAACAATTAACAGCTTTGACAAACATTTAAAGTAAAAAAAAAAAGCTTGGGAATGAAGTTTAAACATCCAGATTCTCAATAGTACATCCAAGACAAAAGATCAGGCTGAAGTCAAGTATGCATTGGAGGGCACAAAGAAAAACAAAGTAAACGGCCACTAGACAAGAGTGTGGCTCTTACCCCATCCCACATGAATCGCAGCAGGTGAGCAGGTCCTCAGCAGAGATCTCCACACTGACCTTGCCATTAGTGTGGATGCACACGCGGTCAGATATTGCCTCTGCTGCTCCAAAAGCCTAGTGCAAAAGACATGCAATTAGGGTACATCCAGGCACCGATACCCTCATCCTACTAGCAAATGTATTTATAGTAGAAATCTGGCAAGCTATGGCTTAATTGATTAAATTAATTGGTTAGATTAGGATCAGTGAAACTATAACTGCTCTAAAAACTCACTTGAGACTTAACCACTGTCACTGAAATAACCATTTTTTAAGCTATATTACGTAAATTTCTCATTTGTAAAGAGCACAAAATGTTACAATTCACTTTTCATGTAGTACAGCCATTATCTACACTTCACATTTTATAATGTGGTTTATAGGCATGCAAGATCTTACCCAGCAAGAGCCACAGGAACCTTGATCTCGAATTTCCTTGATGGTGGGACAGTTAGGCCACTGCTCACGGGAATCAAAGTTCTTAGGCAGTTTAATTTTACCAGCATACTCCACCCTGCAGTGAGGAAAAGGCACCAACAAGGCTTTTTAGGGTGAACTAGAGCACAAGTTTGTGATGGGGACTGCTTCCCCTAATTATGAATTGTAACCACCAAAAATACTCTGAAACCAGGTTAACTAGTCTAAAGCTATCTAATCAAGGGTTTCAAAGTATCTTTGAAGTACCAGCTCCTGATGAGCCAGATGAAGCTGTAAAACTATCAGGTAGCTTAACCAGAACAATATACGAGCAAGGTTGGTATAAAACCTGCAGAGAAACCAGCCTTCCAGGACTGGATACCCCTGCTACAACCTCACATCATGCAAGGCACAGAGGGCAAGGTTAATAAAACAGGATTTCAATTGCGGATATGGGCAACACTTTTCCTACAGAGTATTTTTAAGATTAAAAAACATACAATTTTACCAACTACTTTAAGAATTTTCTAGATTAAAAGCCTAGAGTTAATTCTACTTTTAAATACTAGTTTTTAAAAAAATGGTTTATTTTCATCTTCCCAATCAACTCTGAGACTTACATAACTGGGAGCTTGGGGCCTTTGAGTAGTGTTCCACACAGTTTCTTTACATAGCTGAAATCTGCATTTGGGAAATTGTGTCCAGCCTGGGGAGAGAAAAATCTGGTTTAGAGAATTCATACAGAAAAAAGAATTTTATTCATCGTTCTGCCTGTTGTTGGCCAAGGAAACTGTTTCCATGTCCCACATGGAGGGCCATTTCCAAAACAAAGGGACAGAAGTATGGGAGAGGGAGGCTTGAGTCCTTTTCTAAACCATATTACACAATGCATTAGAGACACCTAAACTGACATTCTATGATGCTTTAAACAGTATTAGAGTGACTAAAATGTACCTAAACACCTATGTCTACTGTACCTACATGTAGTATTTAAATACTAAAACATACTATGCATTCTGACAACCATCTAAAATGCAAAATAATTGTAACGTTAAGCCTTATGAAACAGACGTTCATGGATGGTTCGTCTGGGGAACCTAGTTAACTAGTTCTCCTAACCCAATTTCTAATATACACATTTTCTTAGGAAAACGGGAATGTGCCTTGAGTACTGCCCAGTGTTTAATTCTGGATAGTTTTTAAGACCACAAAAGCCACATCGCATCCTCACTTAACGTAAGCTGTAAATGTCTTTAAAATCATGAAGAAAATAAATTAAACTAAAGTTCTGTCATTCAGATTTATGAGCGACAGAAAAAATAATAATCATTCACTTTTGATAGCAAAAAAAAGTTGGACAAAATTAAGAAGTGGATTGAAGAGAATCTTTTAGCTTTCAAAAGGTTAAAGAGGAAATACCAGTCACCATCACAAGAAAAAGGTTTATAGACTTTTTACACTATTGGATAATGGATGCTCAATCTAACTTTTCCCTTGCCTCAGCCACATTTTTCCCCAACACTGGAATAATGAAGAAATGCAGTGACCTTGTCGGAAGAAAAGTACATCCTCGACACTGCAGGAAGTTTACACATGACAAGTTTTTAAAACGACAAACGTTACTCTTGGGAAATCTTCAGGCATAGATAGTCCTTTACCTTCCAGGTGGTGTTGATCTTGTTGACATAGTTGACAAGGTCCTGTGACATCGGTGGGATCCGCGGTCGGGCCCAGGCAACGGTCAAAACCGAGAGCAGGCAGAGAAAGGCGAGGCGCACCATCCTAGCAGAGGTGAGAAAAAAGGCACAGCAAAGGATGAATCAATCATGGATAAAGGACAAACATCCCCGCTCCCCCTCCCCCAAAGGCTTGAAGTGGTGCATACAGCAAGGGAGTCAGAGGGACCCAACTACTGTATGTGATGGTGAGGTCAAATAAGCTGGAAGCAAGATATGGGCTTCATCCCTTTTTAGTAAAAAGGAGGTAAAAAAAAAAGAAAATGCCCTGCTTACAGAAAACTTGTATTCTGTAGTAAGGACACCAACACTTTCGGATTCAGTTTATTTTACCTTAAATCTCTGCAAACGAATCTTGGGAGTAAAAGACTACAGTAAGTCAAAGGTCTTTCATATTGCTGTGTCCCAAGAGTTATCCTCTTTACTGCGAGTCTCAAATTCTTATGAGCACTCTTGTAAAACTTAAAACTGGAAACTCAAAATAACATACAACAGATCCCTATATTGTGCTCATTTCTACCCCATGCTTCATATATAATGCCACATCTGAGGTATTTTTCTCCCCTATCACAGCTATAGTACAGACTTCTGCTTAGCAACAGCAAGTCATGGATGACTTCAGTTTTTGCCTGTGACAAATTAATCATGGGAAAGTCTAAAGTTCCCTTTTATACTTCTACCACTCCAACCCCAGTATCCGTGGTTGAGTCAGCTTTTTTAAAAAAACATTAGCCCCACTGCCGATTTTCTTAACCGGCTTTATTGTGCACTCCGGCAGAAGTTCAATTGTTCTACTGAAAAAGAAACAGGTGGAACAAATTTAAAATTGGGTGTAGATTTATCCTCAACTTGTCATAAGGTATTTTTGCTTTTCAATGCAAGTTACATTATGTCACCTGCTCCCATAAAATGCATTAAAAACTGGGGATGCCATCCACAGTTACTGTAAAGTGCTTATTTGCTGCCCACCAGTAAAATTTGTCACTACTTGGCTTCAAGGAATTTGTTGGCAACCAGAGTACAATGTCACACAGACAAATAGTTGACAGAGGCAGGAGGTTATAGGGTAAAGATGTTTTAAGGTAAATTCACCTACATAACAAAACGGATTACCATGTTTGCGCATAATCTGACAGAGGAAGCATATACTGTATAAAAAAAGCAATAGCCCCAAGGCTCAACCCAGCAGGATGTTTGATCGGGGCCATGGGTGATCGATTAGGACTAAGGGAAACCTGATGCTGCCAGTTTAAATGCTCTTTGCAAATCTTTGTTCCTCCTGAAACAGTGCGAGCTGTGAAGGCACAAATACATTGGAAACGTCAACACGCCAAACTATTCACTTATTACATAACACGTTAGTCGAGCCCTAACAAACCAGTCATGTTTTAGTTCATCCATGCAGACTTTATTGAAAGAAAAGGTATGTGAACCACTTGTTCAGTTAAAACGCGGGACCTTCTGTTCTGCTGAAAACCTGACAGGAGGTTTTCAGCACTGTTTGTTCCCCCTGTGAGGGCTTTGAAGTACTCAGTCTGAACAAACACTTATTCAGGAGTGCTTTTCCCCCCCCATAGTGATGTTCCGGATGACTTTTCTACTCAAGTTCTAGAAAATTAAGAGAGCAAGGAGAAGCAGGGTTTGAGAAAGCAGGAACCCCTCCCCAAAAGTATAAATATTTTAGTGACATCTGCTAACTGCTTGATTAAAGATGGCCAGCAAGTGAACTGTTACTCCGGTAATGAAGAGGTCGTTTAATTCTCTCAACTCATTACTTTACAAAAGCATATAGACAATTTAAGAAAATAATTCAAGTTGCATAACTGTTTCTGGGAAGCAAATGATTAAGCAGACTGTAAAATTTACATTTGAGCTAAATGTAGTTTTTCAAAAGGGCATTTGGGAGATACTGGAGAGAATTCCAGTTGTGGAGCTGTACAACAAAGCTGTGTATCTCACTGGGTGGAAACGTGGACTTCACTAGAAGTAAGAGGGACAGAAACGGCAAGTTACAGATGAAGGGTTGAACATGAAAGAGTATACACAGACTGCAGCTAGACAGCGCTTTAGTGCCCTAACAGACCAGCAGAAGAACCCTGAAGTCCCACTAACTTTCACAGGAAGTCAATGCAATTTGCACAGGACTGTAGTTATATGCTGATGCATTGTAACTTGAATTAACAAACTGCTGAGTTTGGGACATACTTAAGTCTCTTTAGCACCTTTCCATTACCAATCCTGGAGGCCCCACACACCTGCTGCTTTTCATTCCAGCTGAACTCGTTCTGTCCTCCAAGGTAGAGAGGTGAGCACTAAGCACTCATTTGCCAATTCCTCTTTCGTCTCCAACCAGATTTATTTTTATGTTACTGAAAGACTCTGGATGAAGCCTAGACAATTCAAAAGCAAAGACGACCCCACCAGATCACATCAGAATAGGTTGTTCAGGGCTCTTAAATCGCATTACAGTGTATATATATATAATAGGCCTAGGGAGGAAAAAAAAAAACTCAGCAACCACTTACACGTGAATGGATAACAAGTCTGATCCGCTGGAGACAGGAAGGCACTTAGCAAATGAGATAACCAATATACTGCCCACTGCAGTAGGAGGGCTGCTGGGAATGCAGCAAGAACAAGGTCTTGTGGAGAAACTCCTCTTCCGAGAACCGCATGCTACTAAAAAAGAAATAAAGCAGGACCTTTTACTGCCAGATGCTCTTTGAACAACCACTACCACCTTCAACCAATTCTTTGGTCCGCTGCCAGTGGGGCACAGCAAAAAGAGGAAGAGGATTTCGAACGAGTACCACACTTATCAGATAGCTTGTTTTTGTTATTTTAACACTAGCTCAGACAGTCCCTCGAGTTAATCACAAGATGAAACAATAGAACCTAAACCAGGAAGGACAAACGGAGAACAGAGAAGCACAAGACTGAGGTTTGAAATAGGAACCCAGAAAAGAATTTAGTTCCTCATATACAACAAGTTTGAATGGAGAGGGTTTGTGAAAATGCAAGTTTCTTTCTGGAGAAGCCCCGCATGCCCATCTTTGTGCAAGGACAAGAGTATTCAAGCCTACACAAATACATGTACTGTAACAACTGGAACTGAGAAATTTACAAAACAGGGGAAAAAATGAATTTGAAAAAAGGCTGCTTTAAGACTATTGCATTAATATTGTATACTTCAAACAGGCTTGTGTGGACTGGTTGGAATATTTGTACAAAGTGGCTGAACCAAATGGATTCAGAGGCAATACATTTCTTGCATTGCACTAAGCAGCACAAAGGTGAAACTGCACAACAGCTCATGTAGAAAGAATACTTCTCATCTGTAAAGTCATTCACTTGCTTCATTGTTTTTTTTTTCCCCCAGCCACATATACCGGTACTTGCTTCAGTGCAACTAAACCAATAATGAAAGAACCAAAAAATGGAAACTTTGAGCAATTTAGAAAGTCACACATACACACAAAGGCATGACTATCCAGAAAAGGAAGTTACCATGACAAATATCAGCTACTCATTTGTTTAAACGTATGATTTTTAACTTAATATTTTGTTAAGTTACATGGACAGCACTTTCAGTCACTGTAAAGTGATGTTAAAGTCTCCATTGAGAAAAGGCTTATACATGAAGGGCTGGTGTCACCAATGTTGGTCTCCAGCACTTAAATGCAAGACACTCCTGTCTGTTATTGGCATACATGTTATAAAATGGTGCTTCAGAGCACAAATATGAATTCAAGTAATAAAAGGTAATAAGTAATCAATTCAAATGTAAATTGTATGACAACTGATAATGTAATATTTGCTTACTTCTTTTAATCCATTTGATTATTTTTATTGAATTATGATCACAAAAACACAAGTGGGGAAACTGACCTGCAAAGTAAGTTACCATTTTAAGTTTTCAGGTGACCATTAACATACAAAACCTTTTTAAATATTTTGTACCCATTAAGTTCTCCAAAACATTTCACAGCAGACAAAATTATACCTGCAAGGACATTTGTTGAAACATGCCGTATAAAATGAAAGCAAAATTTACTGGGCTCACACTCGCAATGTAACAGTAAGCATCAACAAAGGTCACTGACTGACAGGACAAGTAAAACTACACTCAGGTCATACATCAAGTTTATCATCTTTGAGGTTACATTACTAGTACTAGGCTCAGCGCCACTCACTTTTTTTTTTTTAAAGGTGCAGGTCATTTCTAGGATAATCCTGTAGCACTTTAGAATTACACTATTTAAAAACAATTTTCAATCTTAATATCTTGTCATTTAAGCTTTAAATTCTAGCTCAAGCATTTGCATTAATTGGCTTAGCTGTAATGCATACTTCTGTGAATCCATTCAACTGAACAAGCATACAAGAAAATCTTAAAGAAGAAAGGAAATTACTTAATTGCTCCCTCCAACCACCCATCTGCTTCTTAACGAGCATGTGTCCTAGGATCACATCACTACTATGGGAGTAAAAAGCTACAACTAATTTCAGAAGCAGCCAAACTGTCCCAGTTATTTTCCCCAGTGTCAAATTTAGTTAAACAATTACAGCTTAAAATGGTAACTTGAAAGCCCTCTCTATCATGGCCCAGCACTAGGCTTTTCTTATTGTACACGTACTTCTGAGCTCTTCCAATTCTGGCAATCAGTTTTCACTTTAGCAGTTTGTTTTACACCAGTCATACAAGATGTTTACTACCCCCCCCACCCCAATACAGTTAACAGCTATTATGTACCAGTCAGTGAACAGACTACTATATCCAGCATTTTCAGTCAACTATTGTAATTCAGCCAAACATACACAAATCAAGTATGCAGGAGTTCTTAATCGCCTTCCCCATCAGTATTGCCCATAGGATGCCAACATTCAGCACATCTAGCTTATTTAATTGCTGGTTGAAGACCTACCCAAAAAGGATTTAATTGAGGTTTCCTCAGTCTTTGCCATTTGAGAGAGAGAAAACCCCCCCCCCCCCCCCCAATCCATCCCAAACCCTTATTAATCTAGAATCCGATAGCATCTTCATTAGACATCTTGTCCAAATAATTATACCCACTGTAAAGAAAGTCTCACTATAACAAACTCATGAAACCAGTAGAGGTTTTGATGGACTAAATTAAAGATGCACCCAGACAAGTCTGCAGTAATGTTTTTTTACTACATTGAATGGCCTAATGTAGCCCAAGCAGGCATTTGCCAATATAAAAAGATTGCTTTTCTCTTGTTTACAGTAATACCCAAAATTTAAAAACAGCCTCTTACAGGGTACTTGTAGTGGGATAATCATTTGTACGCAAGAAGGTTAAAACCGTGTACTGTACATTCGTGGCCATTTCCACATAAAAACGTTAACATGCTCAGTTGCAGGCCACACATTTCAGAATCGATTTGGAAAACTCAAAACCACGATTATATTCTTATCACAGAGATCTGCATTGGATTGCAAAATACATTATGAGAACTAGACAGCAGAAATGAAACAGAAAACCAGAACAAACCAACTTGGTTAAATCTAAAGAACCAAATTATATTCCATGTTAAAATGAACAAGTCTTTAAGAGAGCTTCACAGATGGCAGTCAGTTTCTAGTGGCAAGTTCCACAGACCTGGTGCTGCACACAAGGAAGGTCTATCACCCATTGTGGGGCAAGAAATCCTTAACTGCAAGATCGTAGAATAAAGTATTGGATTTTACTTGCGACATCCGAAAACAAGAACCTTAACCCGAAATTTTGCAGGGAGTCAATGAAACTCCCAAAGTAAAGGTGTTCTGTGCCGATGCAGAGGATTTTTTTATATAGCCAGTACACACCAAAGCTTAGTACCTTAGAGGATATCGCAGTAAGTCAATACAATAGTCTAATTCAGATAAAATAAAGCCACATTCATTTTCTAGCATCAAACAGGAATTTTAAAGATCAAGGCTCTTAACCCAGCAACAGCACCCAGGTGGAAGATGGATAACCATGCAAGATTCCCCAACACGGGCTTTGAATGACAATATTGAAATAAAATCCTTCTTCATTGTGACTTCCTTTTGCAGACAAGTAGGCTACTATAAAAGGCCACTATTAGAAATTATAACAAATTACAAGTAAAGAATCCAGAGGGAGAGCTCCACTTGGGGGGCGGGAACTGAAATCACAGTACAGGAATGAAAACCTGATGGCAATTGCCACAGTCCACAGAAGAAATATTTTATATTAACAAGATGACTACCAAAATGTGCTTTTTCACCCCTAAATTGGACTCTCAAACTGTTTTAGTAATATAAAGCATCATGTAGGGAGGAAAGATTTCTCCCCACTAGTACGCATTCCACCCTGGATGATAAACATAACAGCAATGGAAATCTATAATCAGGGGCCAAGAGGGCAAAGAAAAACGACTGCTTTCTTTCTCAAAGCAGTCACTGTAGTTGTTCCCCATTTCCACTATCAAAGTTACACACACCAAATAGATTAAGAGCAGCAGCGTCACACCCTCCAAGTGCTACCAGACTACCAAGGCAACTTTACCGTACTACCAGCGATAACGGGGCATCCGAGACGCAGTGCCCAACCCTAGAACTCCGCACTGTACATGGAAGGGCACGGCTGCTTACATTCGAAGGAAACGTGCTTTTCACTCACCATCCCCATATTAATCTTAAAGTACAACCAAGATACTCAGATCACGATCCCCATACGTACTAAAACTAGTGTACTACAGGAAGCGATGCAGACCCTGTACATCTCTTATCAAAGAAACCCTAGCCAACCATTTCGTACTTTAATTTCACTTCTCGTCACGTGATGCCGATCACACTCAACGGCATAAAACACTTTTTCACACGATACCAGTAAAACAAACCTATACAGTGCACAGCCGAACATGGGTATAATTTTAACCAAAACAAACAATGCGTTTTAAACAAACCTTTTCACATAGGAAAACGGCGAGAATTGGGTAATGAAAGCATTCAGTACTAGACCGACGCTTCAAATGACTTGATAACCGCGATCCAAATTAGCTGAATTAATTAAATTACTACAGCCACCGGTAGCTACTTCACCCACAGACCAACTCGAGAAAATCAATCGGTTAACACGTTGAGCAGCCTGGAGGATCACTGAACAATGCTTTACCCCAGGCATACAATCGGCGCAAACACGCTTGAACTCTAGCATGACCAAGCAATCACTGCATTTCTAAAACCAGCTTCCTGTTTTAAAACTCTCAGCTTCTCTAGACAAACAGAAACAGGCCGCCATGGGCATCACGATATCTTAATACCTGTTATTTCGAGTCCACAACCAACTCTTCTAATGGTCTCCCAACTCTCAGTGTTCTCCGCAGGTTTCAATCCTCCCCTGTGCTCCTGCCCTAAATAAGCCTCCGGCCAGGCTGTCGTCATATGACCGGTCATGTGCACCAGGGCGCTGATGACTCTCACGTGATTTGACTGAGTCGAGTCGAGCGAGTGCTTCAAGTATAGGTGGGAATTATGCATTTGCTAGAACCAGACAAATGGGTTTAACATAGTTCGCATTTTTTTTCTGATTTGATAGGTTGGACGACGTGTCTAGTTACTTCTGTTGGTGTATATATATATATTTTTTTTAATTCTTAGTTTGGGGTGGCTGACATTTGTTTAAATTTGGCGGTAGGAAACTTAGAAGTCATAGATAAAGTAGGTCGCTGCGTCAGCATGCGTAGGCTGCAAAGGAACGAGTAATAGGTTTATTCCGTGCTGAAAAGAGAAGAAAGAAAACAACGTTTCGGCGGCGGAGCCTTCTTCGGATGAGAAGAAGGCTCCACCCGAAGAAGGTGGCACTCGAAGATAACTAATCGATTACTACCTGCTGTAGTAAGATTTTTTTCCTTTCAAACCAGTACCCTAAGAAGATCCTCTGCGGTTTTTGTGTTACTTGCACGAAAACAGATTATGTCAACGTTATCCCCACGAGCTCCTGATAATAATAAAATGCCAGTGGTATTAGTTATGGTAGTCAGATTTGAACATTCACAAAAGAGGAGGCTCCCGGGTTTTGGTGGTATTTGTACCAATATCTATTCATCTCATTCAGAACGAAAACTGAGCGCGGCAGCGAAACAGACACGTCTATGACTATAAGCAAAGTACGATCACAATAACCATATCGAATCGAAAACCTTTGTGGGAAAAGAATAAGTGGAAATCCCGAACTGAATAGGTACTGTACGCTTATGCTCTTCGCTTACACTGGCTCTCCTTTTAGACTTCCAACAGGTGGGTCTCAGCTCCCGGGGGATTACAACACAAAATACAACTGCACCCAGTATATATCAGCATTCTAAGAGATCAGAAGGTTAGCTACTGAGCCAGATACAAGAAAAATGCGATGAAGAAGTTCTTATGAGCAGACAGCAGCACACATGAAACAGATTTTATTAGATGTTTCATAGTTTTCACCGTTTATACTCGTTTATCTGGGACAGGTCAACAGCTCCAGGTCCGACTGTTCTAATGAAAACTAACGAACCTACAGAAACACCGGCCCTCCATGTCCAAGACTGGAGAAACCCTTCTTTATAGACCATTTTTTTTTCAAACAAAAACTTGTTGAGTCGATCTTTTGAAATGGGCAAATAAGACACCAGAAAGAAGCAGCTGGTTTTGCTGATACCGTGACACTAAGACCCACAGAAGTGCAAGTATGCAGTAGCAAGAGTGCTTGCAACACTTCCCTGAAGTTGTGTAAGATAGTGTGACAGAATGATGAGGTCGCAGGATTCAGCTGTACAATAGTGATGAGTCACTTCTTCTTTCAAATTCACTGTACCACAATGATTCTTTTTTTTTAAAATCTCTTATCATATGACCACTGAAGTAGACTGAATTTGCAGGAACGTGCAAAACCATATTCTGCGATTCAAAATGAGGTATCAAAACGTCTGGTGATGTGATGTGGCCCTATGACATTGTAAACAGGCAGGCTTGTGAATACATCTCTTTTAATCTAATAGAACTATTGTTCTCGATTTCAAGACAGTTTTCCCTACAAATACTACATACTTGTTAATTCTGCATGCTGATCACGCTGAAACATTTCTGAAGTACAACCTGCACTTATTCGCTCGTACATCACATTATATTGGTCAATGCAGTGACTAGTGAGAAGGAAGGGGCTGCATCACAATGGAGTTTCTTGGGAGGTCTCTCTTTTAAAAAAAAAAGTCACGTGTTTTTGATTCAGTATGTCTTTGGACTGTGGTAGGAAACCAGAGCATCTGGCAAAAACCCACGCAAACGTGAGGTGAACATACGTATAATTCCATGCAGACAGAAATCTAGATCCAGAATAGAACCCACGGCCTCAGCATTGCAAGGCAAAAATTCTAACTGCTGTGCCACCCTAGATTTACTCTGTCATAATGTACATTATGATTTACAAGGTATTTTAACATTATAGCACTCAGCTCCATTCTGTAAAAGACTACATCCTTTTTTGTGGATTTTGTGTAAAAGACTACATCCTGTTTTGTGACATGCTGGGTTCACCGAAGGAGTAGAATGCCGCACGTAAGAAATGTACTCCATCCACATTTAACTGCTTCATCCAATCCAGGGTCTTAGGGGAGCTGAAGTGTATCCTGGCAAGCAACGGGTGAGGCAGAGTACACCCTGGTTGGAACGCCAGTCCATTACAGGGCAGACACAGACACACACTCACACCAGGACCAATTTTCCCAGAAGCCAACTAACCTAACGGTATGTCTTTGGACTGTGGGAGGAAACCTAAATGAACATGAAGAGAACATGTAAATCCACACCCTTGTGCGAGTGTGCATCATAGGACAAGCTAGAAAATTCCTTCCAAGTCCCTTTACTGAAAACGTTCTCCGAAATACAAAAAGAAATAACTGACACATACTGTAACTGGAGAACAGCAAATCTGTGGTCCAAGTTCTCCAAACTCAGTCCCAGCTGCTGAAAGGTAGCTACATTTCAACCAACAACATACTTTCTCATACCATTCATGTATGATACAAGTACAGTATGTCTATTATTTGTTAATGGATTCATGTTGTGTTTCATTTACAGTACATGCCTGCAAAGAAAATTTCTCATCTGGGACAATAAAGTAAAGTAAGTGTAGCTCAGAGAATCATGGACAATCTTGTAATTGACTGCTAAAGCTCAAACAAGACTAATGCTCACCTGTCTGTTTTTTTTGTCATAAGGGAAGAGGAGCTGAAAGACTGCACATTCATTATCAAATTATTTTCATACATTCTGGGAATATCACATGAGCAATGTGGGTTGAGTAATTTCAGTTATTTGTGAAACCAAACAGGATAATGACCATTACACTCCTGGGGTGCTAGGAAACTGAAGGAAATAGCAAAAACACTGGCAAAAGAAAACACAACAAAGTTTCTATTTTAACATTTATTACTTAATCAATTATGTACAAATCAAGATGACACATTACATAGCAATGGTATAACGCCACCTTATTTATTTCAAAATACAATCATGCCAGCTTCTACAGAACAAAGCTCTGTGTTAAGAATAGTTAACAGCAAAATAATGCTGCAATATGGTATACAGCAAATACTTCAAAAGAATGCACGGCTGTCCATAACTCTCCTGCAGGTTCCATCATGCAGAAGTGTTTTTTTACAAGTTTGTTGTTGTAATTAACCCTTCTAACATAAGTTGGTTTAGCGAAATCACCAAATTAAAAATGAACAATAAAGGTAAAATTATTTTCAAACATGTTTTAACTTGTCTGACTGGCACACATGCATTGCATTATCAGCAAGTCAATAGGCCAATGAGAGCTAGCTTAGTAAGACTATAATATCAACAAATATCTTAAACATCGCATGTATCTTATCTGAAGGTTAAATGTCTCTCAAAGTGCCAGATATGACTACTTAGAGGTTGCAATTAGGACTAAATTAATATGTTACAGTGAGTTGTTCACTTACACAAGCAATGAATGAATTTAGCAGCCCAAAACACTGTCTTCTCTTTTAGGACGCTGTATGCTTTTAATAGGATTTAAAATAAATAAAATCGTGTTAATGTAACTGAAAGTTGGTATAATCAAACACTCTGGCACAGTCCATAAAAACACCATGGGCTTATCTGAACAAAAGCACTTACATTAGGGGTCAATTAAATCTCTACACTGAATTAAGTTAAGGCAGGATCTTAATTGACCTACTGTGTATTTTGTTCTTAAATCAACTTTTAACTCGTTTTTTTATTTTTATTTCACACGTCAGTGTGTAGTATCACCTGAACCAGCATTTCAGGTTAAAACCTCAGAACATCAACTCCAATTAAACTGCTCACTGGAGTTGATATACAGTAGTAACTAACACATCAACTTATGGTTAATTATTGATTCTGTCCTAATAATGAGGGACATTTACAGCAACACTATAAAATATAACTTGAACAGACAAACATCTTTCTTACAGAAGGTAAACTATTGTACAGGACACGTATTCTTTTTACTTCCATAAAATGTGGAAATGCATTTTAAAGCAAGAACAGGATGCACTTTCCAGAAAAGGATGGATTATAGGAGTATGGAACACATTACCCAGCCATGCTATCAAAGACAACACCCTAGCTTTTTTGGAAACGGTTGGGTAAAATACTTAGATCAATTAGAAACTAATAATTTGTCTAGATGGGCTACAGTAAATGGCTTCCTATCATGTGTGATCTTTATTATTTAAAACAAAGACCTCAACACTGATGCTAGAGAAAAACAAAATCTGAAAAAAGACTGCAACACCTAATGTTGGATTTGTGCTTGATTTCTGTCCCTTATGCAAGTTTACTCGCATAAACTAAATTTTCAGTTTTCCCATTGTTTTACAATGCTAATGCAATGCCTTTACAGCGCTTGCCTTGACTTCCATTTAGCTTCCCCAAACCATGGTGTGTTCTATCATTCTTTAGCTTGATTTCAATGTGCTTCAATACATTTTATGTTTTTCCAAGGTATAGCACAGTATAATTTTATAATGGATGTTAAATAACTTTTAGAATCTATCAAGGGGGAAATGAAAATGCTTACCTTGTCGTTTACCTTACTTTACCTTTACTCTTCACGGCAACTATATTTCAGACTAGAGTGTGACTTTTGTGTTAAAACAAATCTTGCTATACCGTATTTTCCATTAAAATTGCAATCGGTTTAATCGCTAGATGAATTTCAAATGGCCTGCCACCTTCCCTTGTTCTCGTCTGATCACCACAACGTCCTCTCAAGAACTGCCCTGTAAGCAGAGGATTGTGGAAGCTTACAATGTGTTACCCACACTGACAAGGTATTGATTTCAGCCACTGCATATTGAGTAAGAGAAATTAAAGTCAAAAGCACTACTGTAGTAATAATAAAGTGCTACCCTGCTGACAACCACCGTTAAGATCCCTTACATCTATTTTTTAGTCACAAGTGTGTGAATATAAAGGTGGGATGCTTCCCTAAGAAAAAGAAGGCTCCCCAAGCCTGCCAGTCAGTTTCCCAGGCTCCCTCAGTGTCCTTGCATGTTGCCCGTGCTGTTCTGCCCTGTGGTGGCACTCAGGTACTGCCAGCTCAGAGCAGCTAGCAACATGGCAGCAGAAAGATAGACTGGAGAGAGACTGGAGACACGGGAGGGCAGAGGGTCCTGGGACAGATTCTTATCGCGGATGGAATCCAGGATTTGTAACGTTCTGTCCTGTGTAGGGTCTGTGGGTGACACCTTCTGTCGAATCTGGTGAGGATGAGAAAGCCAAAAATGTATTTTAGTTCAGATCTTATGTAAAAAAAAAAACATCTGCAGTTTTACTTTTATGAAGGCAACTTTTATTCTCTTTAGTTGCTGATTACAATAAAATACCAGTCACTTGTTATACAAAACAGAAAGAGAGAACAATGAAGATAAAAAAATAATCTGTCTGATCAAAGGCAGTTCAAACAGTAAATATTTTAACTCACTTCACAGAATAGCCATAGTATAGGTTCCTCATTTGCATATTCTCTCACACACACAAACATCCTTCCTTTCACATCTCATACCTAGAGACTGAACGACTTAAACCCACCTCCTGAATGTACTGAGAGATAATGACCCGCACCGCTCCCATGCTGGTGGCCTGCATCATGAGGGTCACTGCCTGTCCCTTGCGGATTTTCACCACACCCTGGAAAACCTGTGGGTTGTTGTAGCAGGCTGACAGAGTGGCTATTGCCATCACCTGGGGTGAAAGAAAGAGATGTATGAACAATTGAGGTTACAAAGAGGAAAACGTGGTCTGCCTTAATCTGTAGTATACACGTCATGAAAGCAGACATCCCTTTAGAGTTTCTTTTGGTAACATCAAGCAATCATCAGATGATAGTGTAATCATAGGAACCCCACCTTTAACCTAAAGCTCTGTATACACATAAAGAACTGAATTCAATTCAGCTTGTGCCGTAGTGTCCGGGTAGGGTAGCATGCTCTGAAGTAAACAAAAAATGCAAAATAAAATACATTTTTTACGTTTTAGATAATCCATTAAATTCTGTGTACATAATCAGCATTTATACACGATCTTAACTTGCATGCACCTCTACAAAAAATCTTCTCAAGAGTTAAATCTTTACAATTTCTAGGATTGCTGAAATGAAATAAATTAGAATTAGTTGAAGGTATTCTTAACCTCCATCTGATTACTAATTTACTTGACTGACACTTATTCAAAAGTCATTTACTTCCGCACCCACTTAAGCAGCTGCATATTTACCTAGAGAAAGTTTGGGTGAAGTACCTCACTCAAGAGTACAGTACAACAGCTCCAGCTGGGATCTGAACCCTCAGCTTACTAAATGTGAGTCCAGAATCCCTAACCTCTATTCCACACTCCTACCCTTGTTTATGTTAGGATTTTGGATTTCAAGGTAACCTTCCCCAGTGTGGTCAGAAAGGGTTGTAGGATTCTACTCTAAATTACGCTGACAACACTGCAAATGTGCCTTTTTTCTCAAAGCAATTTTGATGTGAGAATCCTTCCCAGTCCCTGTTAAGAGAAATAAGGGCAGGGAGGTCCAGGTGTCTAGGAAACCCACCTGGGGGATTGCGCAGAAGTTAAAGACACTCTGGTTCCGGAGGCGGGAGAGGTAGCTGATGACGTCTGGCACGTGACGGAGAGCGTCTGTCACCAGGAGGTTGAGACAGCTCAGGGCTGAGTCCAGGTGTTGCGGCTGTGCAAAGTCCTCCAGCCTGGCAGCAAACTGACTCCATGCCTGGAGGAACCACAGAGCACAACGTGCACAAAAACACAATACTTTTAAACAGGAGCCCTTAGAACATAAGGCACCTGCCTTATTAAGAATGGCCGACCTGATATCAGGTGAAAGATGAAACTGGTACAGACGCATTTGGACATGACACCTTAACTTTGAGTATCATCTATTAGGGAAACATAACAAAATAGAAACAGATCGGAGGTGCTCATTTTCACATTAGAGCGCTCAGCTCTATCAGTGTATTAGGTCACGACCTGTTTTGTGTCATACTGTATTCACCAAAAAAAAGTAAGGTGCTGCACAAATGAAATGTCATTCTCTAGATAACCATGTAGCTGCTTCATCCACTTCAAGGTTGTGCCCATCTTAGCAAAGCAAGACAGGGTTCACCCTAGACTGGACACCAGTGTATCACAGGGCAGACAAATAAAACACTCACACCAGGGCCAGTTTTTCCAGAAGCCAATTAACCTACCAGTACGTCTTTGGACTGTGTGAGGAAATCAGAGCACCTAGCAAAAACCCATCTTAATACGGGGAGAACATACAAACTCCACAAAGATAGCAGTCCAGGTCTGGAATCGAACCCAGGGTACCCGTGCTACCCCATATGTAGTCTATCATAATGTAAATTATGATTTACACCAGGAAAAGAAAACCTAATCCACTCAAAAAACAAAACAAATGCATCTACACCATTACAATGATTTAAATACAGAAAGTGATTTTATGTAGAATTCATTATCTTACTCTAAGAGTACATCATTTCCACTTGTTTATTTTTTTATTTACATCAAAAAGATGTACATACATACACATATAGTACCATAGCTCTAATTCTGTGTTAACAATCATAATAAAGTATTTTTTAACAAACATATCCTAAGATGAAATACATCTATGGAATTGAAATCTCTTATGCCTTTAGAAAACCTTCAATATCCTCAGAAAGTATTGGGACAGCAAGGTCAAAACTGTTATTTTTGCTTAACAGTCAAGCCCATTCTATCTGTGATAAAGAGACTAAAATGAATTAGAAGTGCTGTATAATATCTCTCTAATTCATCAGATAATATGTTTTATTTTGGGGTAATTCCATACATTTGATCATATTTTAATTTCCCTTCGGGATCAATAAAGTCTTATCTATCTATATTAGAAAACATGTTTTATGTTAGAATCAGTGACTTCATGTGCCAGAAGTATAGGGATACACAAAAGGTTCAAAGTCAGTTTTTGGTTGCATATTCCCTTGAGTTACTAAGTGCCTTAGTGACGTCTATGGCCCTTTGAGTTCACCAGACACTGCGTAATAACGTGAGCTGCTTTGCCAAGCCTTTGCTGCAGTCATTTTGAGTTCATGCCTATTCTTGGGGTGTTCTGACATCAGTGATTTTCTAAGCATGTAAAATGTTCACTCAACCGAATTTAAGTCTGGAGATTGCCTTGGCCAGTCTAAGATTTTCTGCTTTTTTCTCTGATGCACATCTTGTTTCTATTAGCTGTGTATTTTGGTTTCATTGTCATATTGCATGGTGAAGCTCTAAACACTACGAATGGAAGCTTTGTCTTTCATATAAGCGGACAAAATGTTTCTGCAAATTTCAGTGTTCAATCTGCCATAATTATTACATCATAAGTAAAGGCCAGTGAGCAAGTTTCACAGACAGCCACACATGCCCAAACCACGACATTTCCTCAACAATGCTTCATAGCTGTTGGAGAAAGAGCCTTTTCAGAATCTGCAGTGCTTTTCCTTCTGTACTCTTTCAGCTTCAAAATAGTCTGTTTTTCTTTAACAAAGTACTGTAGTTTTCACTTTGACTTTTGGTTACAAAGTCCACAGAGTGAAGTCAAAGCAACAGGGGATTGCTCTTTTATGAGTGCCTAATTATGCCTGACCTCACTAAAACACTGACAACTGTCATTCAGTTGTTCCAATACTTTTGGTTCTTCAAAATAAAGTTGTTGAGCACACTTCATTTGTTTAATTGGCTCAAAGGGGTAGAAATCAATTTACTTTAGTAAAAATATACTACTTATATGATGTATGTTTTTGTAAGAAAACGTTTTTTAGAGTTCACAGTAAAATTCACAGGTCAGACTTATGTGTCCTAATATGTTTGGAGTTCATACTTCTTAAAATGTAAATACAATGCTTTAACTTTTGCAAACACGCAATGGCCAAAAAGGCTACTCTAGGCTAAATGTCATTGATGGTATTTAAAAGGAAAAAAAAATTGTAATTATGTGATATAAAATGCCAACACTATCTAGTAAAAATAGTATTAAAAGTATAAAAGTAAAAATATATTATAAATCACTGTACTATCCGTCAACTTTTTCTTATTTTTGAGATATCTTATGTTTGACTGTTGGTCAAGTCTGTGACTATTCAGAGTTAAGAAATACTCTGCTGAAAAAAAAAAGTATTGCTCAAGTATGTGGTTTGTGAAAAAAATCAGCATTAAAGAGACCGTGGTCCTTATTTATATTGTGGGAAAACAGCCCATTTCACAGTAGATAAAATTAGAGTCAATTTCCCACAGTTTGCCTAAAGGACAAGTCAGGCTCTATGACTTCCAGCTACTTTTCCATCAAGGGTCTGAACTTTTATATAGAGGAACAAATCTGTTTTGTGCAACATAACTGTGTAACTGATAATATTATCAGTTGCAGCAACATCCTGAATGACACACCCTACCCTGGAGCAAATCCATTTTTTTTAATTCTAAAAAAAAAGTACCATGATTTTTTACGCATAAGGTAACCTGTAAGGAGCATGTTTCAGTTTTAAGTTACGCATCACTGAGAAATGTAATTACAGCAAAATGTCAAATGCAGTAGGCTAATTCTCTAAGCCAATAATGTTAAATAAGATTACACACTATGTGCTGCCGTGAATATGTTACACACAGTGAACATGTTATGTCAAAGCCTTGCTAGTGCCGCATGCATCCAAAATGTCAGCAGCCATATCACCCTGCAACTCACAACTTACAACCCACTTAAGCTAAGCAGGTGTGAGCCTGGTCAGTACCAGGATGGGAGACTCCTGGGAAAGCTGAGGCTGCTATTGAAAAAGTGTTAGTGGGGCCAGTAGAAGGCGGTCACCCTGCAGTCTGTGTGGGTCCTAATGCCCCAGAATAGTGACGGGGACACTATACTGTAAAAAGGCGCCATCCTTCAGATGAGACATAAAACAGAGGTCCTGACTCTCTGTGGTCAAGAAAAAAACCCAGGGTGTTTCTCGAAAAGAGTAGGGGTTTTAGCCTGGCATCCTGGCCAAATTTCCCATTGATCTTTACTAATCATGGCTTCCAAATAATCAGCTTCATCACTCTGTTCTCCTCTCCACAGATAGCTGGTGTGCGGTGAGCATTGGTGGGGCTGCACATTGGTGGTGGTGGAGCCCCCATTACCTGTAAATCGCTTTGAGTGGAGTGTACAGAAAAGTTCTACATAAGTGTAAGGAATTCTTATTAAAATGCAAAAGATAGATAGATAAGACTTTGTTGATACCGAAGGGAAAGTGAGGAAAACCTTAAGACAGTGTTGTTTCATGCCACTATTTGAACGATAGTGTAACGCTCTCGGGTTCAAGTGGGTATGCGCCCTCGCCGCTGCCGCCTCAGGTTGGCCCCCCACTGCTGGGGACTCGAACCTGAGCCTCCGGCATCACTCAACAGGGACCCAGCCAGTTGAGCTAAAGGGACATCTCTAAAAGGGAAGAAAAGGCTACGATTACCTCTTTTGGCCAGAATGCCCGGCCCTCCTTCTGGTCCTCCAGGTAGTCGCGGATGATGTTGGTCTTCTGCAGGAAAAGGCCCATGGAGTTGGCGAGGTCTGTGGCTCTGCCCACCTCAGGATCCTCCAGCTGGGAGGCAGAGAAGAGGCGCGACAGCCCGATGCCAACCAAACCAGCCACATAGTGACAATACTGCCAGAGACAAGAAACACGACGACATTAAACCTGAGGGATTGCACACTGCTGTAAGGCATTTCAAAAGACTCCATTGATCACTGCTGCAGTTGACTGCTAAGACTTTTTATTTCTCACTCCCCTATAAGTACCTGTTACACATCTGTAAATCTGAGACAAACACAAATAACTAGAAAGCTTAACAAGCATGTTTCCTTAATCTATATCTGATTCTCTAAAGAAAATCTCTACTAACTTTAAATACATTTTCTGGACTAGTGTCAGATGAATGCCTTGCTTTTATATTTTTATGAATATGTTTTCAAAAGGATTCAGCATATATAGCACTTTATTAAATTAATCCTTTTTAGTTTGTTTTATTTTTTAATTACATTTCTTTTTTTTAGTCTTGTTTTCTTTAGAAAACAACAATAGAAGATGCTGGAGGAACACTGGAACTTTGTGCAAACTTAAAATCAATAGTAATGATTTGCATTTTATTCTTTATAAGGATGGGACTCCATTACAGATAAAGGGTGAGGGTTTGTTATAATCCAAAGCTATACATGTATGAATTCAGACTGATGGATCCGATATGAAATTGTAAAGTAAAATGATTATTAAAGCTTTGTGCTCAAACACAATGACAGATACTTGATTGCTGGATGCTAGCATGCTTTTCTAAGTCACTTCCATACTAAGGAAGATTTTCCTTTTTTCTTCAGTCAGAAAGCCTACGATTCCAAGACTCTGCTTCTGAAAACAATCAGTGAAGTGCTCTGATAGCATTGTCTCACTAGTCATTTTTCAGCATTGCAAGATTGTGTTTGAATCCAAGGCAATAGGAATAGACAGATTAAGAGACATCATTTTTGTACAACATGACAAATCTCCACAATTTTTTTCTCTGCTCTAGATTTGAAGGACAGAACTACATTTCTATTCACATTGAACACACAATCAGAATTCCAACAGCAGAATCTTCTAAATAACCATGTACGGCAGTACGTTCTAAGGCTAGGAAGAGGGCTTAAGTTACCTTGTCCCATTCTTTCATGGAGCCCACCTTCTTCTCCAGGAACTCTGCCATGCCAACTCCCATGCAGTGGCAGATGTCAAAAATCACATCCCGGTATTCCTGGCCCAGGTTACGGAATTCTAATGAGATCTGCATCAAGAAAATAATAATCACAACATCATGAGCAGGGACTAACTGGGAAGAAATGTGCCCTCAAGCACAGGAATGTGTTTTGTAATCGGTGCGCAGCATTTTCTGTTCAACACCCTGTTATTCAAGAAACCTTCACAACGGTTACTAATGTTCTTAGAATTGGTCATGCTGACTTGGTCAGTGATAGAAGTGAAGTCATTGCTAAAGTGAGCCACCTTCTGTTGCAGACAGATACAAACAAAATACAGTAAATCATCCATTTGAAAACATCCTAATGTTGCAGTGGCAGTCTACTGAAGTGGGACTTGTAGCGTGATCCAGGGACACGAGAGAACCCAATTTCCGGGCAAGAGGCAGTCGATTGGGGAACCTAAAAGCAGCACGCAAAGAACAGTCCAAGACTGCCTGCTCCCAGGACCAGAGGCAACCCCAAGCTGGGTCACATCCGGGGATTTATTTTGAAGAACACCTGGAATGAGCACGGTCACAAACCAACTCCAGATGCTCCTAGTGATTAACTTTCCCAGCAACTTTTGTAGGGAAACGAGTTAACAATGACATACAGTGCAGTCCATAAGCATCTGGACAGTGACACATTTTTGTTGATTTGGCTCTGTACTCCAGCACAATGGATTTGAAATTAAACAATGACTATGAAGTTAAAGTGCAGAATTTCAGCTTTAATTCGAGGATCTATATTGGGTGAATCGTATATGAATTACACCCCTTTTTATACACAGTCATCCCATTTTAGAGGACTAAAAGTAATTGGACAGACTGTACTGTAAGTGGCTGTCCAGGCACAGCTACAGTAGCATGACACAAATATTACTGCATCCTTGACTCTTATAAATATTTCAGAGTACATACTGCTGCTAATTTCTATTCTGGAGCACTGAATTTATCATTAGTTTATTGAATGCTCCATTTATTATCCCTATGATTTATTATCAAGTGGTAAAACACACTCATGCTCTATTAAAAACCCCTCTGTATTGGAAATGAGAGAACATCCGTAAATGAACAGAAGACAAAATTCAAAGGGGAACTCAGCTCAGGGCAGTTAACTCCTTCCCATTGGGAATACTGACCGTTGGGAAATCCTCCAACACCTGCCGGTCCTTCTCCTGGCTCTCGGTGAAGCGCCAGTCTTCCTGGTACAGAAAGGTGTTGAAGTTGTGCAGCAGTGGGACCTTCTTGTCCAGTGGAATAGTCATATCATCTTCCACTGTGTCCAGAGCACGAAGCACCAGATAAAAGATACACACTGCGTGTCTGAGGGAACAGAGAGGAGCGCACCTGCTCAAACACCCGGAGAGGAGGGGCAATGGGTAACAGTGACAGATAAAGTACATGACCGCACAGGGGAACCTGCCATAGGAGAGGCCCAGAACTGACCTCCCCCCACATACTGTATGTATATGGAGTGTGTTTCAAGTATGGGCCCACTTGTAACTCACAGTACAACCCACAGTGAGTTAAAGTTAGGTATATCGATATACAATTTAATTAAAATTTACTTATATAATTGGCAGGGCTTATCCAGATGACCACATAAAGGTCTGTGATAAATAGATTGATTTGGGTATTTAAAAATGATACTTACAAACTAGTTTTAGGAAGCAAATGGAACTTTGCTGCAATTTTTTTAATTACCCACAGGTCATTGCCACTGCACCACTGCATAAAGTCATATCATGTCACCTATACCACAAAAGTTGAAAAGTGGGACTCTCAAAAGAAAAGTAAAAAAGGAGCAGTTTGGGTTTTTCTAGGCTACCACCAATGAAGACTTCAATACAAAGCAATCTTAACTCTTGCTCATTGGTTGTTAGCAACATGTCACCTAGCCATTCCTGCCATGACTGGTGAGGAAATGGTGGTACCTACTCCGATGAAGAGGTACTGTATTCACCAAACCCATGATCTCCAATAATGGTGTGGGCAGTGAATTATTTATCCAACCAAAAGGGGACATTTTACAGAAAATACAACAGCTAGACAAGTAAAGCAGGATATTGTACCAAATGGCTCCTGTGAACTCCCTGGGCCTTTCCTTAGAGACGTTACCCAAAACAATGATCCTTGACTCAGAAGATGAAAATCAAATAAATAAGTAAGTTACTTTGTTATAGTGCTATTAGTGTGTAATGTGAGAGGAAAGGGCAGAGGCCCCAAAAATATTCATAACTGGCCTGAGATTGGAAGGTTCGCAGAGATATATCTGTATTGCTACAAAGATAAATTGTATAGCTATCCTAAACCATACTTGCTGAACAGTTTGCAAAGTCATTATGCATCACTTATTCCTGTAGATTTATGTCTACAATCTATGTCACTCTACCTTGTTTTGTCCTTGCTACTTTTTGAGTTATTTGTTCTTATCTATTATTTATATTATACAAGTTTCCTAACTTTCTATTAATCGATTTTCTAACTGCTTTATCCAACACATGGTTGGGAGGGTGTCAGTGCCTGTCCCAGCAGGCAACAGGCATGAGGCAGGATACACCCTGGATGGGACACCAGTCCATTACTGCGCTCCTACTGTACAAACGCAAACATGCGCAAACTCACAACAGGGCCAATCTTCCTAAAACCAATTACAGTAACTTACCAGTATGTCGTCGGATTGTGGAGGAAACCGACATGAACACAGGGAGGACATACAGTACAAACTCAGAAACTGAACCCAGGGCCCCAGCGCTGTGAGGCAGCAATGACAACCACTGTGCCATCATGCTGCCCACCTAACCTTCCATAAAATATTTTAGAACGTATTTAGATCACGGTGTATTATCGCAAAAATGTCTATTTTGAATGGAACACAGTTCTGGTATACAGTATAAATTAATATTAAAAGGCAGTTGTTTATTGTATAGCGAATAGTACTGGTTGCTTTAGCACTCATTCGCTGATACTGTCTCAATTATTTTAAAATCAAGGAACGACTGGCTGTCGAAAAAAAATACTATTCAACTTCGGTCAGCAACTATCCTATAATATTCATGCGGGAAATCTACATTTTCTAAAGCGCACTGAGCTGGTGTCAACGTCCGTGTTTAACCTTTCACAAGGGCGACTAGAAATTGTTTACAAACAGTAACGGTTCTGAGAGAAACTCCGTGACCGCCCTAAAGACTGTTCATCTCCCTCTCTCGCAGTTTAAACGGATATACGTAAGCATATTATGTAATAATATCAACATGGATCTGCTCCCAGATTGTCAATATATATATATACAGGTATCCCATCTACCACCCTCATATTTAAAATAAAAGTTGCAATCGTTATGTAATTCTTTGGTAATATTTTGCCGTTTTCAAGGTCAATGGATGTTGTTTCCATAAAATTAAAATAAACAGAGTCTTCTATGCGTATTTTTTCTCATAATGTAGTTATTAGCCAACACAGTTTAAAAGTGAATTGCATTTTCATTAATTTAATGGGCGTTATCGGGCAAGACCAACTCTTCCGTTGTTTACTACCTCAAGCAATACTCGGCACTTCGTGCAGACTCCGACCGAGCTTGTCCGTACAGTCAGTGACACTGTCCAAATCTCACGGACACCTACCGTAACTCTCCGTCGAGAGCCTGGATCACGGCTGCAAAGCTACGGCTGGTCTGATTGAGGTAGAGGTAGCAGGTTCGCAGGCTCTCGCTCATCGACTCCTGGCATGAGAAACACAGAAACACCGGGCGTCGGTAAGACAGCCCCGTCTTCAGGGCAGGGGGACGGGCCGCCCACCAGCCTTCCTGGGTACCCCTCTCACTTCGCCTGCCCCACGACAGCAGAGGCCGCGAAGTTGTAACGGGGCCCCGTGGTGGCGCAGAGAGAGTCCGTTTGAACACCGAGAAGGGCAAGGTACTCTTGCAGCATGGGCCGGCCATGAAAGGACTGCACTGCCGCAGTTTTAAACTTTTATACTGTTTATATTCCCGTCATCTCCGTGTCTGAATATCCCGTGCGTGCTCGCTGTTCAGGGGGAAAGGGCATGGCAGCCATATCGCCCCAGTCCACACAACACCTTCCACTCCTCCTACATCCCCCAAAACAGCGCTGCATGGCACCACGCCTCTCTCACCCATATCAACTACAGACCAAAACACACACACACACTGTACTGCCCCCTCGACTCGCCCGGATCTGTTACTGACAGCACAGAGTTTATACATTCTTTAACCAGGACATATTGAAAAATAACCTAACGTCTTAATACATAAAGTGTACTGCAGGACGTGGTTATCTTTAAGAATCATCATAACGGTTTAGGAAATACAGAAAATGGACGTATAATTTTGGAGCCTCGATACATTATAATTTATATAGCTGGTCCGCCCCTAGTGGCAACTGGTGACCCTTTTCATTGCTTACTTTTCATCACAAACACACGCTGTAAATGCTCGATGGTTATCTAGCTTTTGTCAGGTGAGAAGGACTGATTAATAAACTACCCATGTTTCCAGATTATACCAAATTCAGCAGAAGCAGCAAATTAAATTAAAAAACATTTCCATCAAATTCAAAAGTGGGCAGATACCTGGCTGCTTCTGTGTAATGCAAACAACTGCTGAGATTTAAGTACAAGCAGAAAAAAAATCATTAACTATAATATAAAATGGGAAACTGTGAACTAGAAGAGGATACTTAGGAAAAGACATAGGTGTTTATATGTTCACACACCTTCTACATTCTCTAGACAATATGGGGAGGCAATTAAGAAGGTAGAAAAATGCTAGCATAGTTAAAAGTAGAAGGCCTAGAATACTGAGTAACATTTTTGGTCACCATGTTATAGAAAAGGTACAGTACAGGCTGGGGCTTAAGGTAATGTCCTACATTGAGAAGCTAAAGAAAATATATTTTGGGTATTCAAAATCTTTAAATGCATACAGTCACCATATCCTATTTCTTTAAAGTGAACAGTGAAACAAACCAGAGAACACAAGTGCAAACTCCTGTTTGTTATTTTAAAGTTAAAGCCTATACACTGGCTTCTTTCACGAAATGGCCTCATCTTGCTTGTAAACGTTTAATATTCATATATAATTACTTTACTGTCATTCTATCTAGGTTGTACTTGTGCAACATCATATTTTCTGCTTGTATACTTTAGTGCAAGTCAACAAGCAGGGTTTGCTGCTTCTACAGTGTTCGACTATTCAAGACTCCACATACAAATAGCTGCATTCTTAAAAAGAGGTCAGTTATTTAACGCGTATGAGAGCAAACCATTAAACACTCAAATCAACAGGAATTAACTAATAAATGCTATATATGGTTTTTACTATCGCTGCTATCTATGATGTATTAATATAATTTGTTTCTATGGCTTTACTTTTAAATAGTGGGAAAAAAACAAATGTGTTCGTTTAAAACCCATCTTTATGCTAATTTAATTAAACTATGCATTACAGTGCATTTCCAATCTTTCGAAACCAATGGGGGAAAAGCAATCTACACAGCTGTAACCGGGATTAAAAGATGCAATGACAAGTTTGAATAAAAACATTTAATTGAAACTGTCATTTCTCTTCGATTTGTGTAATGGTGTGTTATGTGGTACTTAATATCACTTAATTTCCTTATAACTCATTTTTTTTTACTCTGCTCTGTCTTGATGGAAATAATATAGAAAACTAATATTAACGACACCTTCAGATAACATTGTATTGCTATACCTCACTACACAGTACAGTGACTTTCTTAAAATGCTAAACCTACTACAATGTAACAAAGTGTCTCCTGACAAAATTTATTTTGATACTCACGCAGTCCAGTTTTGGCATAACCGTCCTACAGCCTCCCATTTTAAATTTAAAAAGATTATATATCTCTTCTGGGTGGCCAAGTGATTTCAGTATATCCATTTTCACACTTGATCTGTAAGAGCAGTAGTGATGCTGCAGTGAGATGTACAGGTGAAAGATGCAGGTTTATTGCTCGATAGCCTCCTATTTGACATTAGCATGGTCGGCCAAGACAGGTACCGCCTCCTCCACTCACTCTCCAGTCGATCAAATAGTACGTCAGATGGACTGACGCTGGTGATAGGCCGATCCTCATGGGCTCAGGCGGAAGCGACCAATCACTGCACGGGAAGACTGGTGTGATAGCCCGCCTCGCTGAGCAGACCTACAAGCATAGGACATTTCACTCAGCTGCAGAGCGATTACTGGGCAGAGGTTTTGATTGTGGTTTGTAGGCGTGTGTTAGCGTAAAATGAGAGAAATGGGCAAAAGGTTTATACCATAACTTCTATTACCAGGAGTGGGGAAATGACTGGACCTGGTACAGTACCTCCAAAACTTTATTTTCTCCTACTGGGAGATTTTTTTGGTTTCCCTGTCCTCTGAGTCCAATCAACCGTTGCTATAATGAAAACTACAATACGAATCTGCAAAGCGCTTTGTAAGGGAAGCCCGTTTCCGTCAGGGAGTTAAAAAAACAGCGCTATGGTATCTCAGAATTGCGACTTAAAAACTCAGAATTACGACTTTACAGTATATCTCACATTTGCGACTTCGAAATAATTTAAAGTTTTAAAGAAACTTGAAAGTCTGTTATGTTTTTTTTGTGTCAGCTTGTACATGGCTTACAAGTATTTAGGGGCATACAGTAGTTATATACAGTAGTGTCACAGATGTCGTAAAAAATACTTTAATCTTAACAGACACAAGAATAGCCTTTGTTAATTGCCATTTACAGTATCTATGCTTCCATTTGACAATTGTGGGCTTAATATATTTTTTTTTATTAGAATGCTAAACAGAACAGGAACCAGTGCTGTGAACTGAACCGAAGAACAAAACAACTAAATGATCACCCAACTAAAATGTATACTTAGCAGAAGACGGTGGAAGACCCAGAATAATGTAGAATACAACAGTCAGGGAAAAAAAATCTCTGAACCAGATCTGAGGCACCAGAGCAAGAGCAGGCCAGGACAATAGATAGTGAAGGCATGACTTTGTGTGACCTGTAGGTGGCAGTAACAGGAATGCAAAGGACTCACTAGAGAGAGAGTTAGGTAGGTCTGGTTAAAAAACAATAATAACTTTATACAGAATAATGAATTTCCTTCCTGTCCTTTGTAGCAGGAAGCAACTGTATTGTAACTGTTAACGTTTTAAACAGGCCCAATATTTGCTATAAGAAGTCATTCTGGTAATTATTGTGTTTTGAATGATTTATTGTAATCATTTGTACTGATCGATTAATGAATTATCAGCATGTTATTAATAATGTTATGAACCCTTTTAGATTTAGTATAGTTAATGTTTTTGCTCAAGTTTAAAGTTTAGTGACTAATATAATTAATAATTACAACAATTGCTTACACTTATATAGCGCTTTTCTGGACACTCCACTCAAAGCACTTTACATGTAATGGGGACTCCCCTCCACCACCACCAATGTGCAGCATCCACCTGGATGATGCGACGGCAGCCATAGTGCACCAGAACGCTCACCACACATCAGCTATCAGTGGGGAGGAGAGCAGAGTAATGTAGCCAATTCATAGAGAATAAATATGTAATTAATTTACAGTAGCAGTTGGTCATCATCACTTTTATATTACTCTATTAATACTTTATTATTGTATTCCATGTATGAAGTGATTAGAAATGTCATTTACAACCCCTAAGCTTACCAATATTATTTATCATCACATTCTAATAATTCTGATCATCAGTAGTCACTCTCATGTTCTGTGTAATGCTGCTGTCTGATCATGATGTCTCTTCATTACAGTCAACGCACAATGCAATCATTTGTGCTTTGTGACTTGACCAGTAGAACAGCCTTGTAGCTGTTATCTCCAAAAGTGTATTTCCCAAAAGAATTAACTATTTCACTCTCGAATTTTAAGTTTCTTAGTACTGAAATATGATCATTGGGAACCTATCTACTGGCAGGCAATGCCTGGGAAGAGCACACCTCCAGCCGTGTGGAAAAGCCTGCTCAACAGAGAGGAGAACCACAGTACAGGAAATAGTGAGGAATCTGGAGAATCAGAAGTCCAGAGCAGTGGAGTTGGGAGTGCAGGACAAAGAAGAATCTTCCTGAAAGGAGATTGACTTGGACAGAGCTGTAGAGGTTGGAGCTCTTTCAAATCTCTTTCCCGTTACAGGTAGTCTGTAGCACCCTCCCATCCGTAACGAACCTGTACAAGTGGGGTATGAGCAGTGGCGGAATAAGGTGATCAGAGGCCCCTAGGTTACACGTTGCGTAGCCCCCCATAAACATTTTTATGGACCAATGGGGGCCCACAGGTCCGTTTAAAAAATACTCTGGCCAATCAGGGCCCCCTAGGCTACAGACTATGAGGGAGGATCCACTGTGCAGGCTCTGTGGAGAGAGTTGAGAAACGATGAAACCCACCTCATTCGTTAGTGCCACGTTTGTGCCATTGAAAGTAGCGTTTGTGCTGCTTTCGTTCCCGAGATATAGCGCCTTGTTTTTCCGGTGATCACGTGACCATGCATGGTGACTTTGACCTCCAGTG